CAAGCGGTTCTCCTCCGGAAGCAGCTGGCTCAGACGGTGACGCATCGAGTGTGAAGAGGTCCTCGCGGCGGACCGTCTCAGGCCCACGGACACCATCCCCAGAAGCGCCGAACGACCTGAACAAAGCGAAACCGGAGGAGCAATCATCTCCACGCCGCAGCCGCCGAATCTCGAAGGAAAAGGAGAATGCATCCACCGAAGACCAGCCTGCTAAAGGCCCAACAAAACCTGTCGCTGCACCTAGGAGTCGAACACCGGCTACCCCCAAGGCGCCTCCTGGATCTATTGGTTTGCAAATGTCGGACAAGGAGCTCAAGAGCTTGACGATGAAGAATACCGTCCGGAACCAGACGTACTTCGTGGAGATTGATCTTCAGGTCGTTCGAAAGGATTGTCCTCGTCCGCCTTCGCCTAGCTCAAGGGTTCGTGCAGCAATTGGAATTGAGGAGAAAGAGGCTGAGGCAAAGAAACGAGGAAGAACTGAGCGAGCTAAGAAGAGGGGTTTACTGGAGGAGGAGATGGATAGGGAGGAGGATGAAAGCCCTTCGAAGCACTTCCTGGCTCCTGGAGACGATGAGGAGTACGAAACACCGAAACGAAGGAAGCTTGATGGAGAAGGAGGTTTTGCTGTCGGCGGTGTAAAGACAGAGGAGCGATTCGCCGCTCTTCAGCTACAGCCAGCGGCGAACGGAAGTAAAGAATCGCGATCAAGATCCGGGTCCTCTGATCCGGCTGCAGCCGCGACCTCAGGTGTTGATCCAGACAATCGTTTCGTTAAGCCGAACTCAAAGGGTCGCTTTGTCCGGTGGAATAAGAAGCTAGCATTCTATTGCGAAACTGGTGCCCAGCCGAAAGCACCCAGCGATCCATCCAAAGGCATTCTAGCGAAAGATGCTTCTGTAAGTCTCCGTTTCTTAGTCGTGATCATACGGAGTCTCATCTATAGCCTACAGGCTGCCAAGCTCGATAAAGTCGGTAATGTACCGGAAGCTGGGATCCAACCACCCGAAGTCAGGAAGAATGTGGTGGTGGTGTTCAAATACGTGTACGCCGACGACCCTTCCGATAATCTGAAGGATGAGGATATGGATGATGATGAGGAATACGTCGAAGCCCCATCACCACCAAAGAAGGGAAAGCGAAAGCGACTAGCATGAACACTATTTAGGACCCCCTTTAGGACCCCTTTTCTCTGCTCGCTTTTGTTGCTATCTCGGTCCGATTTGTAGCATGTAACTCCCTTTCGTTTACGTTCTAGGGCTCAGTGTTGATATAATTCGTTGATAATATTCACTCGACATGTGTATCTCTTTCCGGAGTGTGAGGAACAGGTGTTATTCGCATATATAGAAACGAACGACAACAGGAAGTCACATTCTGGATTAGGAACCAAGTGCACGGATCTTCTTGACCATAGCGACTTTGCTGCGCACCTGCAAGGGGAAGTCCAAACAGCGTTAGGGCGATGAAAGCGAGATGATAGACTGGTCGGTACGTACCAGCTGTCCGAACTTGCGGCGATGCGTCTGACTTGCAATCCGGCGCCTTTTAACACCCTTCTTCTCATGACGCTCTTGTCTGCGAATAGTCATTCTAACCGAGTTATCGCGGAGGATAGTGTTAAGGTCTCGGTATGCACCCGCAAAGTTTTCCAACTTGACGGCGACACTACGTCCCGTGTATGGTGTCGGAGGCGGCGAGGATGCAAGACGCGTCAGTAATTGCTTGGAGCCGTTCTCCCAGTGCTGTTTTGCGGATTGCTCGTTCTTGGCTTGCATATTTTGGGTGAGGCTGGCGAGTAGGGATACGGCCATTGTTGTAACGTCACGAGGCGTTGGAGGAGGATCACCGTCCGGTAGTCGAGATGGTCGATCACGTCGCGGGGATGGCGCCGAGTTCACGTCGGTAGAATTTGAGCCGCGTCGTTTGAGAATTGGGATCGAAGGTGGTGTTTTCGGAAGCACAGGGGTATCGGTCGCAAGAATCGTAGATGTATGAATAGAGGACTAAAATCAACGGCGGGTTGAGATGAGGGTTCAAAGAATCACTGTACTGACGTGGCAAATCTCCCTACTTCCTTGTTTAACGGATCTCCCGCCCAAGCTGTTGCAAGCCCGCGAGGAGCACTCGAAAGGCCGCTGCGTCGGAGTTGAGGCGCAGACGCAAGGCTTGTTAAGTTCCTGACAGCATTGCCGCTATTCAAGAGCCTTGGAGGGTATAAGAACGAA